CAAAATGCAAGCACATCCACAGCCGACAGGTCATCAGAAATACGATAGAATACTATTCCCATATTCTACTATTGTTCACTGATCAACTTGAAAAACTATATTTCCTCTCTGAATTTATTATGATCTATAAAATAATCACCAGATTTAAGCAAATAAACAATATTATCAGAAGGGGTTTGTTAACTCTGCCTAGAGTTCCTCCGGCGGCTACTGCCGGTCCCAAGCCTGTATAAAGGAGAAAGGTTGGGGTCAGCGACCACATCTCGCAGAAAACTAACTCTCTAAAAAAAACGCTAACCAGAAAGGGGTTTTATGGCTCAGTGGTCTAATGGTTAAGCGCTCGCGCGCGAGACTAATAGGTCCTGGGCTCGAATCTCGCGGAGAGCGGGATCGTGGATGAGCACTGCTGAGAAGTCCCATACTAGGACGAAACGGCCATCCAGTGCCTCCCGGTTTTCGATGTTGGTCTAGCTTCAGTTGACTCATGATTTCAACTAGTGAAATAAACAATAGTTGAAGCAGAAAAATAACCGAATGTCTATATATATATATATATATATATATATATATATATATATATATATATATATATATATATATATATATATATATCTGTATGTACGTACGTATAGATCAGACTATAGTAGGTAAACTTTAACAGACCTTTCCTAGAAGACGTCAAACATGTCAAACAGAAATATTACCCGTATTTGTTGAAATGTACTGATTATTAAAAACTAAGTGAAAATCTATTAACATGTTATTTTGATTCATATTATTAAGTGCTTTAGGAGTAAACGAAAAGAGAGAAAATGAAAAAAAAAAAAACAATGACAACTAGTAAACAAATTAAAAGGTGTGGTTTTCGTCTGATTTTTATGTTTAAAGCAAACAATAACACTAGTTACGTCATTACTAACAAAGATGAAAGGAAGAGTAAAATCTTATCGGACTATAGTGAATCAACATAGAACCTGGCGTATGTGGACATCGTTTCAAGTTTACTGCAACCAAATGAATACTAAACGTGGAGTAGTAGTATTAACGGTAGTGGGAAAGATTAGGCATAAACATGATTCGAAAGAAGTAATGAATTTGTGGGATATAAGGTAAAAAAGAAAGTTGATTTAGAACAGATAGAGTGGGATTAGCAGTGGAATCTAGGACGCGTGTTTCGGGTTAGTTGGGACCCATCAGTCGGATATGCCTGCATCCCAGAGTTGATGTTCACTACGGGACTCGAACCTAGTAGAACCGTTTGCTTCAAACGTAATCATGTCATTCACTTAGCTACTACGTTCCGATAGGCAGTACCTATTCAACCGATGTGATATTTAATTCAATTTTGACAACGGGATAATCCAATCCATTTTACATTGAGTTGAAACTCAAGATGTAAGAGAAGACAAAAAGTGAAGACATTTACGCCATTGTGAATGACGAAGCTATATGCCATCCAAAGTTTTCAACCACTGGCTATGATAATCAGTCCAAGTGCCAGTGATTTCATGAACTGATCCCATGTTTTGGTTTAACCGTAATTAATTGTATCCTAACTTACTCACAAGTCAATCATAACTGCTCATCGAGATAGGCGGTTAGGACTAAGTAACGCATGCACTAGCCACCTTAGTCCACTAAGGGTCACGCTGTTACAATTGCGAATCGCTTTACCATCTGTCTACAAACCTACGTCTGATTTCAGCATTGCTCATTTGGTGGCCCCAACATATGTGAGTAATACACCAAAGACAGCTATGATCGAGTACTAGTAACACACGAATGTCCTGTACTTTTGAGAATTATGTTTCATAGCCATAAAGTAATACAGAGAAGATTATTATGCAGTACACTCACCACTTCGTTGGGAAACATACATTTTGTGTAGCGATTTCTCCAGACACTAATTCACCAGAGTTGATGAAACATTTGAAGTAAGTGAGGGGGTCAACGCGCACAACTACTTCACTGCCTATCGTTAGTTAACTTAGGTTAGTTTTAAAGCAACATTTAGAGAGACGGATAACATCTAGAATTTGATGTTTTTTAGTTGTTTTTCGATCTAGTTGAATTGATCGATTAGTCAAGTTTATAATATATTGACTGAATTAAGTACATCGAACATGACAGTATATTGTCATATCCTAAAGAAGAATAAATGAATGGTAACTTCTGAGAACCATTAATCGACTAATATTATATATGTTTTCTTATTGGATAACTATTAAGTAAATATATTATATGTATATTCATATTCCTTTAATCATAAGCTTTCATTTGACCTATTGGCTACTGTTGTACGATTTACTATTCTCAATTTATTAGTTACAACCTCTCATGATCACAACCACCTTTTGGTTTGATCTTGTATAATTGTTAGTTTCTATTTTCTGATATGATGCGGTCTGATTTGCTTGTATATAAACTGAGCATATCTGAAATATATGATTCATACAGAGGAAGTTGAGGTTGTGTTCTGGACTCAAATGGTCAAAACTAGACGAGAAGAACCAATAAGGACTCAGAGTTGACTCTAGGTTTCTCGTACTGGTTAACGCGTCATTGATCCGGCAACGTGCCAAGACCGTATAGGTCGGTATACTAGTTGATGATTTACTCACGGGATATTTTAACAGGTCCATAGAACGTAACATATACAATGTTTAGTATAAATTGATAAAATGAATTTGTAACTCTGAAGCGAACAGTACTGAGTTTGAGCCACGAAGTGAACATCAACTCTGAGATGCAGATACATTCAGCTGACGAGTCCCAAATAGGATGAAACGCGCTTTATCGTGGATTCCACTGTTAGTCATTATCCATATTTGCATATAATGTTTGTGAATTAAGGCTATATCGAGGCAATCCTCACACAATATACACATATGCCAACAAGAGATTAATCAATTTCAGTCCCTAAACATCAATGGGAAGATTCAAACAAACAATATCAAGTGAATTTTGTTTAATTGATTGATAATGGAGAATATTAAGTCTAGTTTCTAATTTGTATAGTCAAATGTTACATATAATGAATAAACAATGAAAGTTAATCACAATTATAAAATTATCTAATATGAACCATCAATAAGGATATTTATCTATTTATCATATGGTCCAGTGATAATAATAGATAATAAACAGAATATACATTATTTAGTGAATAACTACAAATTTGTGTACATGATTTATATGTATTAAAGGTGAAGGGCGATGATTATGGTCAATTGTACACAATATAATGAACCAGAAACATCGCCTATATATATGTACACATACACATATACACACTTCAAGTTCGCATTTATGTTTTGTTAGCGGATTTGTATGGTTAAAAGCACATAGAATTAACCGGCCATGTATAACTGTTTTCTGTACTCATATTTAACTAATCTATTCAAAGCTGACAGCATAAATGATAGGACTTAGGATTAAATATATTTACTGATTACAGAGAAAAATTGATATAAAGCTGATTATCAGAAGGGGTTTGTGTAGATTTTAGAAATTTTCACAGATTGAAATCATGAGTCAGTTGAAGCTAGAATACCATTGAAAACCTGGAAGCACTGGACGGCCGTTTCGTCCTAGTATGGGACTCCCCAGCAGTGCTCATCCACGATCCCGCACCCCGCGGGATTCGAACCTCGAACCCAGGACCTACTGGCTTCGCGCACGAGCACTTAACCATTAGACCACTGAGCCGGCATCCAACGGTGTTAATGTCTAACTTCAACCAATCCACGAAATTGAGCAACACATCCACCATTGTGGTCAGTGAGTTACTACCTCACAACAGACCTGGCTGAAATCCGCAAGACCGATAATTCCTGGGTTCGAATGTCACGGGAGGCGGGATCATGGATGCGCACTGCTAAGGAGTCCCATACTAGGACGAAACGGCCGTCCAGTGCTTCCAGGTTTTCCATGGTGGTCTAGCTTCAACTGACTCATGATTTCAATCTGTGACAAAGCTGATTGTAGAAAAGAAAAGAACTTACAGTAAACATGACATAAGTAGATTAATCAATAAAATAGAGACAAACTCAAAATGAAATTCATTCGAGAAGTAGACTGATCTAAGAGGTTGATTTGCATCCACGATCCTGGATGCGGGAATCAAACTCAGGACTTCAGCTTCGCGCAAGAACGCTTAACGTTCAAATCATTAAGTGGGCGGGTGCGAGACAGCTATTTGCCCCAGGCAATAGATATAGGGTTGCGCAATACCATGGATTGATTGTTAGACATTAAAATCGTTGAATCCCATATTAGGACAAAGAGGTCGTCTAATGCTTTCAGGTTTTCAGTAGTGATCAAACTAAGATCAATTCGTGATATAAGCCGTGAAAATTCTATAATAATCACTTGATCACATAATGGATTATTTTAAACCTAACAGTACTGCATATTCAATCAAACCTTATTAGGTGGATAAACTGGGCTCGAACCTATGCTTCATGAGTTAAACACTGGCGGCCTAAACTGATATAACGGGATGAAAGTGTGGATGTATAACTTCTGAAACTATTATAGGAAGGATTATTATTTACGCTTCGATTGTATAATTAGTACATATTTGTACTGTTGCAACTCTTTAACTGTGTTGCTGTATGATCAGAAACTTCAAACATGTTAATGCATGAGTTTTGAGTCATGATTTAATTGAGTACTATAAAGAACTAATCTGCTCACTATTTAGTCTCCTGATTGCTCACTTTTTTGGAAGAAGCTCGAGGACCAGTAAACGTTAAGGTTTTGATTCTTGCTCATTGGCTGATTTATCAATTGACAAGTAGATCACCGGTCCCATTGGCTATATTAGTGAAATAATCGATAATCGGACTTGAAAGACACAGAGACCACATAACTGCTCTCCTGTCATTACGACCTGATCATACGGAATCCAACAGAACTCAAATAATCTGCTTTTCCTCGACACAACAAACCTTTGGACAGATATATATGAAAACAATAGTCATGTACGTCAAACTCACAATTAGGCTGCATTTGTGAAGATGTGGAAGTTGGATTAGCAGAAACTCGCTGATTCAACATGAAGTCTTTGGATGTAGTCGATAACTGAGGATGAGTATTGAATAAAAATGGATTTGTAGAATGCAACTGACCAGGGGACATCATTACAGGAACTAGAGTGAAGTTGACTGAGCAGAGAGAAGTAATGGTGGACTTCTATTCGACCCAAATGGTAATGAATTAGTTGGAACGTCATTGAAATCTATAACAAACAAAAATAATAACATAATTACGAGAAAATTAAACGACTCACTACACGAATTTGCATCTTTGAAAACATGAGGAAAAGTAGAAGACAGTTTTTCCTGGACATAGACTTGGTGTGACCGTCTTTCGTCTTCTAACTTAAAATTGGACACTCTAGAAAGCATTATAAATCGGGGGAAAGTAATAGCCAACAAGACGTAACACATATTACGGTTAGCACGAAGTTGTTGTCATGGATTGTGAATGATGGGAACATCTTAGCTTATTAAAGAATTTTTGAAAAAACTTCAAATATACTGATGTAGTAGTAATTGGCCTACACTAGCTAGGGACTCACTTGTACATACTGTGTAATGATTATCAGTGTTAGATAAAAGGGGATATTTACCATTAGCCTCTAAATGTCCTGGCACGACTGACTTTGGAGACGGCTCACTCTTTATCTCGAAATGCTTTCACATGGCCACGAGTATATAGACATTGTCAGGGAATTCCTACTTACTGTTTTCTCGCCGTTGTGGTATTGTTTACGAAATTGAGAGAACGGAAAGCAAATGTCCTGTGCTTTAACCGGATTGTTGGGCACGGAAGATTCATCTAGAGGAGTTGGAAAACCCTGATTCCAAACTAATGGTGCACATGGTTTCCAGGGTCCTGAGGGAACAAATGACGTACGAACCTAGTCTTGGTTACCGGTTACCATGGGACTGCATCCTTGAACGTTGTTTCATTGCTTTATGGATTAGGGCCTCTAGGTCAAATTGTTGGACTGGCCAACTAAGAAAATCACTTACTTTGATTTGGGCACCTGGACAGTGCACTAACCCACACACAAATTGAATGATAATTACATTGTGTAGAACATACATATTTTGGTGCTCCTTTGTGTCAAGATTTGTGTCTAAATGAGACAAATCAATAAATAGTTTTCTTGGACTGAAGGCACGGTCAATCAACAGGTCCTATCATAATGTTTGATTGTGAAGAGAAAACATAGGAGACATATAATTTCACAGGTTTAAATCATGATTCAGCTGAAGATAGACCACCATGGTAAACCTGGAAGCACTGGATGGCCGTTTCGTCCAAGTACGGGACTCCTCAGCAGTGCGCATCCACGATCCCGCACCAAGCGGGGTTCGAATGCAGGACCTGATGGTTTCGCGCGCGAGCATTTAACCACTGGACCATTGAGCCGGCATCCAAGAGTGTTAATGTCCAACTTTAACCAATCCATAAAGTTGCGCCACAGTATACTACTGTCTTCAGTGAGCTGATATCTCACAAAAGACCTGGTTGATATCCACTGGTAAGTTAGACATTAACACCGTTGGATGCCGGCTCAGTGGTCCAGTGGTTAAATGCTCGCGTGCGAAACCATCAGGTCCTGCATTCGAACCCCGCTTGGTGCGGGATCGTGGATGCGCACTGTTGAGGAGTCCTGTACTGGGGCGAAACGGCCGTCCAGTGCTTCCAGGTTTACCATGGTGGTCTATCTTCAGCTGAATCATGATTTCAACCTGTGAAATTTCTAAAAATCTCCACAAAACCCATTCTGTTAAAATATCTAATTGTAAGAGCTTATTGGAAAATTATTACCCCATTTGAATGGACGTAATGTAATCGAACAATTCTTGTTGTAATCAATTCTATTCACGTTTGCGACAAAATGTAATAATAGAGTTAACTGTTTATCCCTGAAAACATTTACTAACCTCATGTCATCTGATAAGTTTTTTTTTGGGGGGGGGGTACAGAAACAACTCTGAGAATGCATTTTTTGAAAAAAAATTTGTCGAATATAAACGATTTACACTTGTTGAAAGAATACAGATTAAAATGAATGAAGTTATTTGAATAACTTTTAATGTAAACACCGAAAACATAGTCGGTATTTATCTATTCCGATTTTCCATTGGAATGTAAAAAGTTCATCAAAATAAAAAGGTAATGTATTTTAGATAACAGGTCAGTTTACATTATTCCACAAATATTGGAGGTGTAAAAGAGGTCATACTGACGTAGTTGATTTTATGCATTCAATTTTACTCAATCTTTTTCTCTTGGCATATCTTAATGTGGTATATTTAGTAAATTAGATTGTTTCACATTGTGATGTCTAGACTAATGAAATGAACTTTACAGATAAAAGATAATATCAGAAATTCATAGGAAGTCAATTACAAATATGCACAGCGCAGTTATGATTAAACGATCCGGTTCACAGAACAAAACACCTATTGAATCCTTCTTTTCCTCAGTCACGGGTATGAGGGCTGGTGTCACTTCCCGGCTGCCCATACCGTGGAAGGGTATTTCTTGAGGAACCTGAGAAGGAAGTTGGATTAGTGTTAACCTCAACGACCTGAGAACGTGATCACAGAGCCCAAATGACAACTGCTTGAGGCTGGTCGCACACGGCCTTTTTGTGGGAGATTTTTACCGTGTTAGCTCCGTTCTTTAAAGGGCCTCACCGCCGGAGACGGAAATCTGTGAGGTAAGGTGAGGTGTGACATTTTTAGGGTCGACCTTTTTTAACCCCTTCCTTCCTTGTGAGAAGGCAGCATCGCTGCAGATGCTGGTTGTCCGAGGGAAACACCTTACTGCTGTCACACCCCTCTACAGTCAGCAGTACGACTTCGCCCTCAGACCTTGAGTTGCTGCTTTTAGTCTTACCGTTCTCCAATCGACCTGCCTGGCATGGTAGAACCTACAAGAACATATGTTCCAGCCAATGAAGCTCGGTTGGGTCATCACGATAGGCAAGCCTGACCACCGCGTCAAGGTAGCAACTACAGTCCTACTGGCCTATGAATATCGTTTTCACTTCAATAGCAAATTTATTTCTCCATTCATTAACGTAATCATTATTATTCTGTTGTATTTCTAATTACTTCTTCGATGGTATGTAGATATTTTTCTTCTTTGACTAGATCGAATGTTGAAACTTAACTCTTTATTTATTTTATCAAACATATTAATTTCCGAATGAGAGTTTGTGGAGATTATAATAATTCTAATAGTTAAATGCATTAGTTGATCTAAGCTAGACAACCGTTGAAAACCTAGAAGCATTGGATGGCTGTTTCGTCTTAGTATGTGACTCCTCAACCGTGTGTATGCGTGAGGCTCCAACTCGTGAGAACGCCTAACCTCTAAACCATTGAGCCGGCATCCAACGGTTTTAATGTCTAACATCAAACGATCCATGATCTTGTGCAGCCATTCATTCATTGTCTGAGGTCGGTATTTATTTATTTATTTGAACGCATAGATATTGGTACAAGGAGGCACCAAATAAATATGCGCCACATAAATCATCATTCGATTTGTGTGAGGGCTTGGATACTGCCCGGGTGCGCAAACCGAAGTAGGCGGTTTTCTTAGGGGGCCACACCCGAAGCCTTTGCCCCAAAGGTCTAATCCACGAGGCAGTGGAGCAACGTAAGGAAATGCAGGCCCATGGTAGTCCGTGACCAACAATAGGTTCATACGCCACTTATTTGCTTAGGATTTTTGAGACCATGTACACCATTGGTTTAGAATCAGGATTTTTCAACTCTCCTAGTTGGATCCTCCATACCCACCAACCCGATTGCAGAGCCGAACATTCACTTTTCATCCTCTCAATTTCATAGACAACACCCCCGCCACGAGGATGCAGTGAGTAGGACTTCCCTGGCACAGGCTATATACGCGTGACCATGTGAGGGCATTTCGAGAGGGAGAGTAGACTCTCCCCACTCTCGGCCGTACCTGAATGTACCCGACACGGATTGGACTCCACTGGTTACGGCTTCACATTAGAACTCCAGGAAATCCATCTTGAAGCCAGTTACCAGTGAGCACATGATAATTGTCATCAGGATAAGTGGTTTATCGAGATTGTAATAAATTTAATAGTTGAATTCATGAATCGATCTAAGCTAAACCACCATTGAAAACCTAGAAGTACTGGACAGTCCTTGGGTTCGAGTCTCACATACAGGATCTTGGATGCTTACTACCGAGGAGTCCTATACTAGGATGAAACAATCATCCAATACTTCTAGATTTTCAACGATGATCTAACTAAGATTGACTCTTGGATTTAACTTATGAACAATAAAAATAACTAACCAAGTAGATTCTTTTCAGATGTTATTATGGAATTCTGTTCAATAGATGTCAATGAATCATTGAATTGTTGTTTAGCATTTGTTTGAGATAATTCATCAAATGATAATAAATCAAGAAAATGATCATTATCGGATTTCATTGAATAATAATTTTGTTGATTTATATCATTCATATTTATATTATTTTGATCATGATGATTATCTGAAAATTTATGCTGTCTTGCAGTAGATACAAATGATTCTAAACGTGCACGTTCTTCTTCAATAATACGTTGACGTTCTGTAGGAGTTAATATAAATTTATCTGATCCAGTTGAATAATCCAATGATTCGAAATCATCATTATTATAATTGGATATTGATGGATTTGTTGTTGGTTGTGGTTTTGGAGATATATTACTAGTCATTTTTCTGTAATATCAAGGAAAATGAAAGAAATGATAGATGAACACTATGGTGTCGTGTCGGTGATTATTTTAAGCCCATATACCTTATTCTAACTTTCGGATAGCTCATTCTATTCATTCTACTTGAGTCACATTCTGACCTTGTTATACGAGGAGAGACGACATATATATATATATATTTCAATATCAATCATCATTACAAACTCCTTGGAGTCAGATCACGGGCCACTAAAGTAGAGAGCCCTTTCGATAATATCGTTCGATCTAAACGACGATTAAATAACGGACCCCACAATGGTTTTATCAATAATAGATTGTATTTATTAATTGTTAATTAATATTTACAATAAGAAAGATTAATTCAGCGAAGAGTTCTCTTTTCGGCGAATTCATTTTCAAAGATGCACAATCGCAAATATATATACTTATTTTTACAGGATGATAATACCTACTTACTTACTTACGCCTGTTACTCCTCGTGAAGGAGCATTGGCCGCTCATCAGCATTCGCCATCCAACCCTGTTCTAGGCAACCCTTCCCAGCTACTTCCAGTTATTATTCATCCTTTCCATATCTGCTTTTATTTCCCGACGTAATGAGTTCTTTGACCTTCCACTTTTCCGCCTTCCTTCAGGATTCCATGTTAGGGCTTGCTTCGTGATGCAGTTTGACGATTTCCGTTATGTATGTCCTATCCATTTCCATCGTCTTTTCCTAATTGCCTCTTCAGCTGGAAGCTGGTTTGTTCTCTCCCACAGAAGGCTGTTGTTGATGGTATCCGGCCAATGGATGTTGAGTATCTTGCGTAGACAACTATTTATAAATACTTGTACCTTCTTGATGATGGTTGTTGTAGTTCTCCAAGTTTCAGCTCCGTACAGTAGAACTGCCTTGACATTCGTATTGAAGATTCTCACTTTGATATTGGTTGAAAGTTGTTTTGAGTTCCATATGTTTTTCAATTGTAGGAATGCGGCCCTTGCTTTGCCAATCCTCACATTTACATCTGCATTTGAACCTCCTTGTTCATCGATGATGCTTCCTAGGTATGTGAAGGACTCTACATCTTCCAGAGTTTCGCCATCAAGAGTGATTGGATTGCTGTTCTCTGTGTTGTATTTGACGACCTTGGTTTTCCCCTTGTGTATGCTGAGGCCTACTGATGCAGAGACTGCTGCTACACTGGCTGTCTTTATCTGCATTTGTTCATGTGTATACGATAGGAGGGCCAGGTCATCTGCAAAGTCCACATCGTCTAATTGATTCTGAGCTGTCCAATGTATGCCGTGTTTTCCCTCACATGTCGAGGTCTTCATAATCCAGTCGACCACCAGAAGAAAGAAAAAGAGAGAGAGAGAGAGAGTAGACAGCCTTGTCTGACTCCGATCCTTTCTTGAGATGCATTTGTCAGCTGCCCTCCATGTACCATTTTGCACTGTAGTCCGTCGTATGAGTTCCGGATAATATTGACAATCTTCTCAGGAACTCCGTGGAGTCGAAGAAGTTTCCATAACGTTTTCTTATTTACACTGTCAAATGCCTTTTCATAATCAATGGAGTTGATGTACAGTGACGAGTCCTAGTCAACTGATTGTGCACGATCGATCCTTACAGAATCCAGCTTGTTGATCTCGAAGTTAGGCGTCTACTGGATGATAATAATACTGGTAATAAAATTCTTTTAGACAATGTGTGATAGGTTAGATAAACAAAGTTATTAAAAAAATTCTTTAAAAAAACAAGTAAAGTTTAATAATCGTTTGATTGTTAATGGCATAAGTATTTATTGAAAGATAGATAGGGAAACGTATAGCTCAGTATGATAAGATAAATGTTGAAATTGAGATCAAATGTAATGAGGGTGATCGTGGAGACAAAATGAACCAGTTGGGGGTAGAAAATTTAAGGGGAACATGGAGGGTGAGGCAGATGGCTATAAAGGAAGAAGAGTATGAAGAGAGAGAGAAAAATAAAAAAAATTATAAAACATCAGGACCATGGTAAAAGAAGGGGTTGTACTAGTCGTTTTTGCACACACAATTCCGGTTTTTCCAGATGTATGGCTAATGCTTCGGCAATGTAAAGAAGATGCAATCTAATGGTTCTTGGGAGACTTCTGCTTACCTTGTAGATGACTTTGAACGCAGAGTCTGTCTTGATTGAGTGACCTGTGTTCACAAGGTGTTTAATTACTGAGCTTTTTATTGAGCCGCTTCCTACTCTTTTTATTCATACCGGACAATGTCTTTGAATTCTTTTGGATAAAGTACGCATCGAACGACCTATATACCTAGCTCCACATGAGCAGGTAAATTGATAAATGCACATTGAGTTGGTCAGATGCGATAATTTATCTTTAAGATTATTGGTGAACAATGATCGGCTGGAGAATACTATTTGCAATGTTGATGTGGAGAATGTTCTTTATAAATAATCGGAAATTCTCCTCTTTAGGGTGTGTGTGACTCTGTAGCTCTTGAATTCGCTTATATATACACATTTATTGATCACTGAGTAATAGTAACCCAATGTCATATTTGTTTGATGCTTATCAAGTTTAGTCGATCAGATTGTTGTGTGACTATCCAAAATGAATATCACAGATCTGGATTCTACCAAAGACGATGATGATGATAATATGATGTTTACCAAGAATTTCATATTTGACTAAATATGTCCTACTGAATACATGGTTTACATAATCCAATAGCATATCATCAAATGAATGATATATTGTGAGAAAAATTTATTACAATAAACACTTACTTTTCAACTTGTTTATGACCTTCTAAGTATGTTAAATGTTCTTCAAGGGCTTCTAAAACTGATGGAGGGACCTAGTGATTAACGTAATACATTTCAAACAATTAGAACATACATATTGAACATGAAAAATAAAATATCAAATTGGACAAATTAGAAGGAAAAGTAATATGAATTGCATTATTTTGGACAATAAATCAATATTCTCAGGGTAGATTCAGTGTGAGAATAAATGATATTTGAACACATTAAGGGGGAGGGTTGAATCTACATATGATATCTAAGGTTTCAGTAAACCCTAGTATTTTCTCCTAGAGACTCTTATATGACACTTCGAACGTTGATCCGATATCAAACAAACTTAGGGCCAGTGTCTCAACAAGACGTTTAAAAATGGTCGAAGATGTTAGCCTGTTCAGTGCTCTTATTAGAAATATTGTAATTCACTGGTTATTTTAGCCATTTAGGTATGTGTGTTTGAGCATCGTTACATGAAGACCACAACTGCTCCTTCCAAAATGTATCAACATATACATATAGAGTAATTGACACAATGGTATGTAACACACTTTTTGCATCGTGTTTAGATTTTGGTAATGGATGAACTTTCACTTTTCAAAACTGAGTTGAACTGCGTAAAACGATCTATCGGCCACTAATTTAAATTTTTGCTTCAACATGAGACTACATGTGAATGACAGGGTGATATGAAGACACGTGCGATTCGCGGTTGGATATTTTGTGTGACATGGTTCAGAGTTGTTCACGATAGCACCGATGCGAACACCTTTCCATGCTGTGTTTTCAGACTACATTCTAGATATTCAGTTGTTTTCTTTGCCATTACTAAAACATTATTTTGATCTCTTTTTTAATTTGCCTTGGTGTGGTTAATACGATAGGGCCACTTGAACCAACACATATCTGCGCCATGCTCTACGTTAATAGTGACTGACTGACATGAAAATAAAAAAACAATGTGAAGTTTGGTAACTGAAATTATGAACTCTCCTTGAGAAGAATCATTCTTTAATTTCCTTCAGGAAAAGAACGATACCAAAATAACTGAAATGAGGAAGTTATAATTTTGTTTAAACATTTTCCGTCAGACAACACTGCAGTTATCATGTCCATGGTATTTAGCTACTATTAAAATTGATAGTAGTATAAAAATAAATCATAGAATAACTAAGTAGATACTGTCCGCGGGCAAGTGTGACGGTTATGATCAAGCGCTAAGTTACTTGTTTATTCTACACTGCAAAAGATATTTCATTTACACTTACTGGCTTGAAAGGATTATTTTCTGAATCAATTGATAAGGGTGTGCCTCCAGGTTCGGCAGACTGAAGTAAAAAAAGATCGAATGAGTTTATATCGATTTACAAGTATTTTAATAAGAGATATTTGTAAGGAAAGTATTCATGTTAAGAACTGTAAAAATACAGAGTACGAAATTTCGTTAAAGCGATAAACAGTCGCAAACTTGTAGTGCAACAAAACAGGAACAAGAGAATGGTAAACTTATCAATATACACGTATTTTATTCCAATTAATTCATCACTGGATGGTGATCAATGTCATGTGTGTTAAGTTCTTATTAGTGCAGATCGAATGCTATCGACCGAATTGCAATGTGGCCACTAGTCTAGGTGACTCGACATTGCGTGCACTATGTTGAGATTAGATGGTGGTTGGAGGTTGTCAGCAGGAAACCCTGAACGAGTGCCAAGTAGCACGAAACCCGGGTCCAGGGTTGTTTTATTTTCACAACATACATTTCACAAAAGTAATATATAGAACGGATTGTTGTGCAGTCAACTGGTTCTTCAATTTGCACTACAAGTAGTGTAGGTTGACAAAATATAACCAAGCTTTCTAAATCTATTAGGGGATTTTGTTACGAACTAGAATAACAGAGCTGATGAAACTCGCAAAACATATAAAGTGGTCGATTTATTTATTTATTTAAACACATAAACGTTGGTACAAAGAGGCACCATATAGATATGCGCCACATAAATCATTCGATTTTTGTGAGGGCTGTGATACTGCACGGGTGCCCAAACCGAAGCAAGTGGTTTTCTTAAGGGGCTACACCCCGAGCCTTTGACCTAAAGGTCTGATCCACAAGGCAGTGGAGCATCGTGAGGAGATGCAGTCCCATGGTAGCCGGTGACCAACGATTGGTTCATACGCCATTTGTTCCCTCAGGATACTGGAGCCCATGAGCACCGTTGGTTTGGAATCCGGTTAAAGCGCCGGACATTCGTTTTTCGTCCTCTCAATTCCGTAAACAACACCCCCGCCACAAGAAGGCAGTGAGTAGGACTTCCCTGGCAGAGGCTGTATACGTGTGGCCGTGTGAGAGTATTTCGAGAGTGAGGGCGGGCCCACCCCACTCTCGGCCATACCAGGGCATTTGGGGATGTTGGTGTAAACAAGTCTTGAAGAAACTTTTTGAATCTAGAGGGTATGAAACGAATCTCAAATATACTTGTACTGTTACTCTATGTGAACAAAAGATTGTGTATTTTGTCAGCACTTTCACTGAGTAAGAGTATATCATATCTGTGTATCCTTTATGCTGTGAAAGATAAGTCTCTTTTTGATGTGAATAGTTCATATATCTATTTTTAAAAAAAAACATTTATTCATCAGAACTGTAACCCTTTAACCATGTATTGAAGAATAAAGATCTTGGTAAGGGTAGATCAATGAGTGTTTTATGGTTGTTTAACGAAACATTGAGGGGTGATGGTGGAGTTGTGCTTGATATTTGTGTAAATGATAACAATCGTTCTAATGACATACTTATTATTGATGATGTAATTGTTAGTTTGGGATGAATATTGGGAAAATTTGAACTTTTCAGATTATTATCATTTATATCTTTATTGTATAATTGTATAGTTGCAGTTCTATATTAACCTTATCGTAAGCTTTCAGTGAATCGATTAACTGTTGCTATACATTTTTAATATCCTTTAATCATTGTCAATCATTTATGTACTATTTGCTCCACCCTTTATCAATTATGATATGATTGTATGCTAAAGTATAACTTCTTATTAAGTGGTATGTGCGTGTGTGTGTGTGGTTAGGGCATTTCAAGTACATTATTCTATGAGTTTCGAGTTATGATTTAATTAAATACAATAAAGAACTAATCTTCTTCTCCCCCATCTACATCTCATTAATTACTGAGTAAGAACAAAGTATTTAAAGATCAATAAGTGTTGATTAGTCAATATATCAATTAGTAAATAGATCTTAATCGATAATTGAAAGTTTAATTGATGAATAATCTAGCACATAATATCGATCAACAATCTTAAATTATAACAAATTAATGATCACAAGACACAGCAATATTAATATGATATGATGTTACAAAATACTTGTAATCCAAAAAACAAAACGAAATCAATGAATCACTGAATTAATTACCTCAGCAACTCTTACAAATGTACTCATAGATTCCATACGTTTTAGAAAATTCTTATAAATCTCTAATGATATCCGACAATCTCGTTTGGACATAGTGAAATATCGACCTGTGTGCATATCATTAAATAAATAATATGGAAGGGGGGGGGTGATTTATTTTTACACACAAGAAAAAAAACAAACACAATTAGAATATCATTATTCAATTAAAAATAATCAGGGCTTGGAGAACGGTAGTATCATGTTTCTTAGACAATATATATGTAATGAAGCAGGATAAGTATCTTGCTTCGGTCAGGGTACCCGAGCAAATATCCCGGCCCACATAAAAATCAACTGACTTGTGAGGCGTATATGTATTCAGTGCCCCTTTGTACCAATATTTATGTGTTCAAATAGAAATAATAAAAGGATGAGTATTGTTTAGACTAGTCCAGGAATAATAATGAGATTAATGACTGAATGTTATGCTGAAAATTCCTTGAGTACAGTGATGCTAAGACTATCATCAAGCATTTACTTAGGATTCGTCTTATTGATCATTATCAATGGCTTTATTCAATATTATAATTTTGATACAATATAGAATTCTCAGCACAAAGTATTTCAACAGGTTTCCTTTTCTTATAACTTCATCTATCCTGACGATAAATATGGAAATCTTGTAGTGATACTGAGCGATTGTCTTGTAAATCATTTAACTAGGATTCATGAATTGCGATTACACCACAATTACAATACATGTTTAGACTTAGTAGGAATTGAAGACAGTTCAACTAGCCAATTAGTGATCGCTAATTAGATGTAAGTAGTTCAGGCATCCACATGTCAATAATGATGTCACTGATTAAACTTTTTTTGTAACTTGCGCAGTGAAAGATCGTAAACTTTTCATAAATGTGCCGGAATAGACTATGCTATTAATAAACGTAATGATGTGTTAAAACAAACAAAACAGATAACTTGCTTAAATATCTAGATGGTAAGAGAAAAAGATAGTCTAAATATTTAAGTAGGCCGCCTTCAGACATCTGCTAGAACAAACTGACCAGTAAAATCAGTCAAAAAAAACAAAGAAGCCGTGACCAGTGGAGCTAATCCGTGTCAGGTAGAGACAGGTATATAACTCAGTACAATGGAAGATGGTCGCGCAATTTCGTCGATTGGTTGAGGCTAGACATTAAACACCATTGAATGCCGACTCAGTGGTCTAGTAGGTAAAGCGTCCGCGCACAAGACTGAAGGTCCTGGGTCCGAATCCCGTGAGAGGGATCGTGGATGCGCGCTACTGAGGAGACCTGCAATAGATCGAAGTAATTTTATTTTACTATATTTTAACACATAGATATTGGTATAAGGAGGCACCAAATACATATGCGCCACACAAATCTCATTTGATATGTGTGAGGGGTGTGATACTGCCCGGGTGTTCAAACGAAGCAGGTGGTTTTCTTAGGGGGCCACTCCCCGAGCCTTCGACCTGAAGGTCTGATCCACAAGGCAGTGGAGCAGCGTAAGGAGATGCAGTCCCATGTTAGCCGGTGACCAACAATAGGTTCATACGCCATTTGTTCCCTAAGGATTCTGGAATTCATGTGCACCATTGGTTTGGAATCCGGTTAAAGCGCCGGACATTCGCTTTTCGTCCTCTCATTTTTGTAAACAACACCCCCGCCACGAGAAGGATATGAGTAAGACTTCTCTGGCAGAAACTATATACGCGTGGCCATGTGAGAGCATTTCGAGAGGGAGAGCAGACTCTCCCCACTCTCGACCGTATCAGGGCATTTGACGGCCAATAGATTGAAATGACCGTCTAGTGCTTCTAGGTTTTCAATGGTGGTCTAACATTGATCGATCCATCGTTTCAATAAAACCAATTGTTCACATTATAATATCTAAGGGTATGCATAAATGTATATGTGTATGTCAAGTAAGTTGGTGAGGGAGTTTCCGTAGAGACAGCTTAGTTGAATAAAAAGAATACCAATGAATTTATCTGAATCATTTGTATGGTAACACAGAAAACTTTAGACACATACAATTGATTTGTAGTAAGAGTGATTAATCACACCCAACTCTATATTGATTCTTAAGTTTACTTTTCATAGAAACCTTTTGATCATCAATAAAATGTATGACACTAAAGTACAAATTAATTTATTAAAGATGAAATTAAAATTAACTCAATTTTACAAGCTTAAATTGTTAATTTGAATCATCATTTAGATAATTGGAACAGTGATTTAATAATAAAAGTACTTGATTTTCAATCACACTATACGACAGATTCAAAACCTTACTCTATATATTTTGATTTGATCAACCCGGGAGTATTTTGGTGTATGCTACTTATATCGACAGATATTGAATTGAAGAAATTTAGAAGTGAAGGAAACATAAAGGATGTCAAGAACAATTAATGGAAGACACAAAAATTATTTGATATGTGTGAGGGCTGTGATACTGCCCGGGTGCTCAAATCGAAGCAGGTGGTTTTCTTAGGGGGCCACTTCCCGAGCCTTTGACCTGAAGGTCTGATCCACAAGGCAGTGCAGCAACGTAAGGAGATGCAGTCCCATGGTAGCCGGTGACCAACAATTGGTTCATACGCCACTTGTCTCCTCATGATCCTGGAGTCCATATGCACCAGTGGTTTGGAATCAGGGTTTTCCGACTCCCGTAGGTGAACCCTCCATGTTCACTAACTCGGTTAAAGTGCCGGACATTCGCTTTTCGTCCTCTCAATTTCGTAAACAACACCCCCGCCACGAGAAGGCAGTGAGTGGGACTTGCGTGGTAGTGGTTGTATGCACGTGGCTATGTGACAGCATTTAGAGAGGGAGAGCGGATTCTCCTCACTCTCGACTGTACCAGAGCATTTGGGGGTGTTTATTCATTACAATATCACAAATTCTTGAACTAAAAGTATGACTTGCAGTCAAATATATGAACCTGTACTTTTTTAAATGAGTTAATATGTATATTTGCATTGGTTCAACTTGTTAGACCACATTAGGTTAGTCAGATGAAATGATTATGACGAATTTCAAAGTAGTAAAAGCAGTAGTGTCGTGTATGTGCTACTTATATTGGCAGTAAGTTGAGTTTTCCCCATCTAAGTTTCGTTCACTACAGTAACAGTAACAATAGTAGTAGGAATGATTAAACATACAGACAATTATCAACAGATTTGAGCATCTGTGGCTAGTAAATAGGGTCTAATCAAAGCAATGTTCACTTAATGATTTTAACATACATGAGTAATTCTTTATTCCTCTTCATCTGTTAAAACTGTGATACAGATGTGAGTCTAAGATTCCATCAATAAACAGTGCTGGGTATGTTTTATTCCTGGCGCCTTTTAAATCTTTTTTTTCCTTATTTTAAATCAAAAATGCAACAATTAATTCATCGAATGATAGAAATGTTCCTGATCTCAGATACACTACTTTGTTAAGAGTTGTGTGTATCCATATAAAAATTTATGTCTGTTATTAGCTGAAACAAGAAACTTTCGTAAGTTATTCGTTATTTTTAGCTTACATATTATAACTACTTAATCGAGCCATATCGGCTGGAATACTTGAGCCTTTAGGTCCTATCATTCCGGATAGATTAATTGGGGAACGGGTAAGGCAAAAAGCAGTAGACTAAGGTACGAGGACGGAGTTGTATTACTGACTATGTTGGGATATTATAGGAGTAGAGTGTTTCCTCCAGACAGCCAACATCTGCATTGATGCTGCCTTCTCATAGAGGAAAGGATTAGAAAAAGTTAGCCATAAAACTGTTACATATCACCATGCACTATGTGTTTCCATCCCCCGAAGTAAGGCCTTCATTTAAAACTGCCTACAAGAAGATCGTGTGCAAGTGGTCTGAAGCAGTTTTCCCTTGGTATATGCAGTTACGCAGTCCCGTCGCCAAAACCACTACTAATCCAGTTTCTTTTTCATAACGAAGTAAGTAAACAAAGATTTTTCGAAGTATAAAATACACTTTAGTGGGTGTATGAAATAAGAGTGATTACGTTATCACTTTTGGCCTTGTGGTCTATTAATATATAACGCAATGATACCGTCAATCAGAGAACAGTAACTTATCGACCGGATCAATGAAGCACAAACCCGTACGAGAAGTCTAAGACCTTATCACTCGTTCGTCCTTCCTAGCCCTGCCTATCGAGTCCAGAACACAAATCGCAGCCTCCGTGATATGAATTGTATATTTCAGACATACTGGGTTTATATACAAGCCAAACAGACCACATCACTCCATAAAATAGAAAATAACGATTGTACAAGATCGAGCCAAAAAGTGACTGTGATTGTGAGAGACTGTACCTAATAGACTGGGTATAACTTAAGAATGGTAAGTCGTATAATAATAGTCCATAGGTCGAAATAAAGCTTATAATAGGAGGAATATGAATACACATAGTTTAGTTACTTAACAATTATACAATAAAAATATATGTATAGTATTAGTCCATAAATAGATCCCAACAGTTACCATTCATTATTCTCGTCGGGATATAACAGGTCATAATATGACAAGATATTTAAAACGATTAGATATACATCGATCCGTACGAGTGCGAACAATATTTAGCATTCGTTAGTATTCGTTAAATTCGTCAATCAAATACAGGCTTATCATATACTTAGCTATGAGCGCTTACATTATTTTTATGAGAGCTGATTGACAACTAACTTAGCCGTTTAAACCTTGAGTGGCTTTGAGTACTATTAGAGGTATGAAGACAGTTTTCAATTCCCGGTTACCCACACTGCAGAAGGGTTCGCCTGGAGGTACCTGAAAAAGAAATTGGGTTAGAGTTGGTCTTAGCGACCTGATAGCGTGACTGCAGTGTCCAAGGGATAACTGCTTAAGGCCGGTCACATACAACCTTTTTGTGAGTAATTTTCGTGTTAGCTCCGTACTTGTTGGGACCTTACCACTGGAGACGGAAATCTGTGGGATAAGGAGAGGTGTGCACTTTTTGGAGTCGACCATTTCAAACGCCGTCCTTCTCTGTGGGAAGGCAGCATTGCTATCATGCTAGTTGGCTGAGGGAAACACCTTACTGCTGTCACATCTCTGTACCGTCAGCAGTATGAATTCGCTTAAACCAAAGTGGATGCAGCAAGATTCGAAACTAAAACCTATTCCTTGGAAACTGAGCACTTTGATCACTAAGAAAAAGGTAGCACAACAGAGAAAATCCTAATTGTGCTCTTTCATCTGTTGAAATAAAACAGTTAATTAAACAAGAAAGAAAAAAAACTAATACTACCATTAAAATAAACAATAAAAACTTACCAATCAGATTAATCATACCCTCATTATACACAGCGTATAAACGAATTAAATCTCGATAAAGAGATAAATGAGCAACTCGAAGAAGTGAATTGGACAATTCATTAAGTGTAGCCTAAAAGATTATTATGAAGTAATAATCATCATCATTGGAAGACTTGAAATTCAGAATATATATACATATACATGATTATGTAATAGAAATATTAGAGATCATTTGTACTTACATCGAACATAAGTAGAGCATCTAATTGTTTCTCAATAACTGGTAAAGTTTTCATTAGCTAGTAAGATTTAATAAAAGAACATAAGCAACAATAAATGTGAATAGTAATATTGAAGTCTATATTTTTACTAAGAAATAACAATGAAATATAATTTGAGTGTAAATTTTCAATATTGAATGACATCCATTGAAGAATTATTGAAGTGCAAAGAAAAGCACGACTAGTATTTCAGCTTATACATACGTATCACTATAGGGTTGTGGAGATCTTGAACCGATTGATGCTAGACCACCACTGAAAACCTGGAAGTACTGGACGGCCGTTTTGTCTTATTGTGTGACTCCTCAGCAATGTTGGTCTAACATAAATCGGTTCAAGATCTCAATCTATAACTTAATAATCTCGACAACCCAATACTGATAATTACTATGTGCTCACTAGTGACTAACTTCGTGAGGGAAGTATCGGAGTTTTTGTGATAAGCCGTGACCAGTGGAGCTAATCCGTGTAGTGTAGACAGGTACAACGGAAGATGGTCGCTCAATTTCGTGGATTGGTTGATGTTAGACATTAACAATATTGGATGCCGACTCAATGGTCTAGTAGGTAAAGCGTTCGCGCACAAGACTGAAGGTCCTGGGTTCGAATCCCGTGAGAGGGATCGTGGATGTGCACAACTGAGGAGTCCCACAATAGGACGGAATGGCCGTTCGGTGCTTCCAGGTTTTCAATGGTTGTCTAACATCAATCGGTTCATGATCTCAATTTATACATATGTAGTTAGTCAATAGTTAGAATGAAGAAATTCCCAATTACTGACCTCAATATACTACTACTGTAGTAAACGAGAACTCAAATATGGTAAACTAATTCATTGTTTTATGCAGAATTACACAGTGCCTTCGTAAAATATGAAAATCATACATTAATTACGTTATTTACACATCTACCTTCAGTTGTCCTTTACATACTTCATGATTCTTATAAATCTGTTGTTATTCGGATTGCCATCTGTTTTCCTACCTGTTCTTTTCAAATTCAATATTCTGCTGGCAGGCATTCTTCTTCCGATTAGTGTTACATACTACTTATATCTGTCCACATAAGGGGCGCACATCATACTATTATCATTTATTTACACACAGTAGATGTTAAATAACTACAATCAATGTAAATATACAGTGATTTATCGGTTTTGAGTTTTATACTGCAATTTAACTACATCAACTGTCTTCATAATCCAGGAGATGAGATATATTCCAGAAGTAAAACTACCCAACCAAACTTAATATGAGTACAATAAAATCTGAATGAAAGTAAATAGTTATTTCGTATACTATAATGACAAATCAATCATATTTGAGATAATACTTTTTGGACTAACAGTTCATAGTAATTATTAAGACTATAATTTATGAACAACCTTTGAGCAATGCTTAATTGATCTTAAGAATGTTGACCTATTTACCAATGTTAAAAGAATGTTATAAATTAGTATGAGGGATTATGATTATGATTTACAGTTCGATGCTATGGTTAGGAATTCGAGTTACAGTTAGTTCTCATTACGAACCGACATCAACTGTTATAGCAAAATGCTATTTAGCCATATAGATAAATGGATTTCGTGCCAAAATACAAGACGCACTATCATAAATCTATATTGATCCGTCCATAATTTATGGTCACGCTCATCCACATTTCAAACTACAGAAAAATCTAGTTCACGATCAGAAAATGATGTGTAAATAATTTAGGTAGTTTATCTGAAGAGTGAAATTGAAGAACAAAATGTTGATCGATAGATGATAACACACATACATACAATGATACAATGCAACTGAGTGATAGCTACTAACGTAGCCATTTTTATTAACCCAACAACAAGAATGATTAGAAATTAAAAACAAGACCGACTAGCCAGAAGATTTGACCTTTTATGAAATGGAATAACATTTTTGTATACAAAAGATTAACATAAAAGAGAACATGATAACATGTTACAGGTGATTGGTTGAAGGAAATCAATTCGTGCGCCGCTCACTCTACAATTAATTAAGATCCGATTATTAGGAATAACTCTTGGGCACTGTATCACCCCTTTTCAAAAATGATGTAGAATCTTTCTGTAGTGACAGAGTGGTGACGGAGTTTCTTTTCCATCTAAAGATTTCGACCACATGATTGAAGTGATGTTCAAGGTACTTGCCTGATAAGGAATTAAGTCAACTTTTTTCTCCTCCTTTTTGAAACTGAACATCGAAGTGCTGTAACTGAAAACGTCAATGGTCAATCTGAGGCATGTGCTGTACACTTAGCTAAGTGTTATGAAACCACTATTGAAGATTTTGAACTGTAAATTGAAAAGTTTTCAGGAAACTGGGACTACGAATGTCAATTGGAAGTGACTTTAAGACTCATAACCAACTTTATTACATTATCGGTTGCAATCACTGCATTAGTACGAAAACTTTGATTTTCATCCGTGATGATTTTCTTTCCTTAGCTGTATTTGACTTCGGGCTAATAACTTGTGAGTAGTTTACAGATTTCGATTACCGCAGGTATAAAATAAAATAAAATAACCCATTTACTAGATACTTATTCGCGTATAGAGTCTAATAGGAATATTTGGTTTCCCGAATCTAAATAAATGGGGTGGGGTTCGAATCCGGGAGTTAATGATTGGAAGTTAAACATTCTAAGCACTGCCGATGACATAGTTTTATTTGGCGAAGACGCTGACAAAATGCAGAGTCTTCTGACTACTCTAAGCAACAATGCAGGCATGTTCGGGATGCGATTCTCCCCCTCGAAATGCAAAATGTTGCTTCAGGATTGGGTTTCATTGACACCCGAACTAGTGATAGGGAGTGAAGTAATTGAGCGTGTCGATCGCTTCACTTATCTTGGAAGTCTCATCAGCCCTTGTGGTCTGGTGTGTGACGAAATCTCAGCACGGATACAGAAGGGTCGACTAGCTTTTGCCAACTTGAGTCATTTATGGCGTAGGCGAGATATCCGTTTACCAACCAAAGGACGAGTTTACTGCGTAGCAGTTCGTTCCGTCCTACTTTATGGCAGTGAAACATGGCCGGTAAGAGTAGAGGATATTCGTAGGTTATTAGCATTTGATCATAGGTGTCTTCGAAATATTGCTCGTATATCCTGGGACCATCGAGTAAGTAACGCAGCTGTTAGGAAACGGGTACTAGGTAAGGATGGCAAATCAATTGATGAAGTAGTGAAACTTCATCAGTTGAGATGGCTTGGACACGTGTTACGTATGCCCAACCACCGACTGCCTCGACGTGCGATGTTCAGTGGTATAGGAGTAGGTTGGAAGAAAGCTAGGGGCGGCCAAACCAAAACATGGCACAAGTCCATGAAGTCACTGACAAGTGGACTGAGCCATGTTGGTAGGTGTAGACTACCTGGTTGGGGACCGCGAGATGATAGAAACCGGTAGTTAGAGACCCTGAATGACATGGCTCGAAATCGTTTGCAATGGCGCAGGTGCATACACTCAATGTGTTCTCCCAAATTTTGATCTCCTTATTCCTCCTTGTCTCTTTTTTTCTCTTCCCAAATTTATTTCACTGTATTGTACTCTTTGAATAACATCTCCAAACGCTAATTTTCCCGATTACTGCTTATACTCTTATTACCTCTATTACTAGGGGATTTGAACCGACCACTGCATCTCTGTGCTAATGTGGTATGGCAACTCGAACTGATGTACGTACGTACGAAGTTCTAAGTTGTTACTGACTGACTGACTGATTCTAAGCAGTAAACCACTGCTCCACTTATGCAATACTATTTTGATAAGTCCGATCTGAGATTGCATCGAATGTGAAAGTATAACGATTTCCACTTACATAGAATACGGGAGTTTATGATTTTGCATTGATAGACACTAATAATTTATATGCTAACATACAGTATGTGGTTTCTAAATCAATAGATTGTTAACTTCTTTAAATTAACCGGTAGACATATACAACGTTCATTGTCCTTTTTATTAGTTTGACCTTTATAAATTTAGATCTTTTGTATGCAACACAAACAAAATACACCGCTCTCACTCTATTCACAATCTTGTTAAAAAAACAAAACAAAAAATGAACATGCTTTTAATGCGATAAAAACTATTGAATCACGTTCATATTGATGGGAATGGTTGGACATTGTTTAATCAAATCTGATTGATTTTTCCTATACAAAGTGTAAACATTAATTTTATCTTTTGATTAAGATCATGAACCGATTGATGTTAGAACATCATTGAAAACCTGGAAGCACTGAACGGCCGTTCTGTCCTATTGTGGAACTCCTCAGCAGTTCGCATCCACGACCCCTCCCGCGAGATTCGAACGCAGGGCCTTTAGTCTCACATGCGAATGCTTAACTTACTAGACCACTAAGCCGGAATCCAATGGTGTTAATGTCTAACACCAACCAATCCACGAAATTGCGCGACCATCCTCCATTGTACTGAGTTAGATACCTGTCTCTACCCTACACGGATTAGCTCCATCAATTGGTTCAAGATCTCAATCAAAAACTTTATATTCACAACCCCTATACTGATAATTAATTTTACCATTAGTATGGTGGGTTTGTGGAGATTGTAAAATTGTTTTTTACAGTACAAGTTACTGATTTCAGTTAGACCACGATTGAGAACCTGGAATGATTGGATGACCGTCTTGTTCTTGCATGAAACTTTTTATAGTAGTGAGGATCCGTGAACACGTACGCAAGAAGCGAAAGCTAAAACTTCAAGCTTCGCGTTCGAACGCTTAACTCCTACACCACTGAGCCGGTATCTAATTTCAATCAGTTCACGATATTTTGAAACCCTCATCAATTACCTGTGGTGGATGACTGTCATACATCCGAAATGGATTGGAATCCGCTAGAACTACAAGAGTTACATTCTGAAAGAGTCCCATACTAGGGAGAAATGACCATTTAATGCTTCCAGGTTTTCAATAGTGATCTAGCTAAAATCAATTCATAATTTAAGCTGAAAATTATTTAAATGATTGGAGTTAAACCAACTATTTATTAATGAACAATATTTAATCTTGATTTAGATCAGATGATTTTGATTTAAGAGAGATCTGGGAAAAGTGGTTATATTAGTCTGGATAAAATTCTGTATGATCATTTGATTTACCCGAATTACAATTAATTTATTAATGCTGTCCTGAAACTATTTTATTTTATCCGTTTCCACTGATTACATAACAGTTTGTGTACTTTATTCAAAATAGACATCCCTATAGTGACTAGTACACTATATTACAAATACTTCGAGGTTAAATAACTCAATTCACAATAAAAAATGCAGTTTTTCTAAAAGATAGATGCAACTCTTTAAAGAAACTTTGGCAGGACTATAATTCAAGGACGAACCAATCAGATTGAGGATAACAGGTCTTAGATTTTGGCGCGAAATTCACTTATCCATTTGAATAAATAGTTTTGGCATAATAGCTGATATCAGTTCGTGATAAAAACACTAAACCTAATCCTAACCGTAACCATCAACTGTAAATCATAATGCTTATTCTTCAAACTGCTTTATAGCCTCCGAATGCCCTGGTATGGCCGAGAGTGGAGAGAGTCAGTTCTCCCTCTCGAAATGCTCTCACATGGTCACGCGTATATAGCCTCTGCCAGGGAAGTCCTACTCACTGCCTTCTTGTGGTGGGGGTGTTGTTTATGAAATTGCGAGGGTGAAAAGCGAATGTCCGGCACTTTAACCGGGTTGGTGAACATGGAGAGTCCACCTAGGGGAGTTGGAAAACCCTGATTCCAAACCAATAGTGCACATGGGCTCCAGGATCCTGAGGGAACAAATGGGGTATGAACCAATTATTGGTCACCGGCTACCATGGGACTGCATCTCCTTACGATGTTCCACTGCCTCGTGGATCAGACCTTCAGGTCAAAGGCTCCGGGTGTGGCCTCCTAAGAAAATCACCTGCTTCGGTTTGGGCAACCGGTCAGTATCACATCCCTCACACACATCAAATGAGATGAGTGTGGCGCATATGTATCTGGTGCCTCCTTGTACCAATATCTATGTGTTAAAATAAAAATAAATAATAAAAACTGCTTTATAACCCTCATTTAGCCCTAGTAAGTAGGTAGCGTCGCTTAAAGGTCATCCATAAATTAAAGTGTCACCGGAATTATTTGTTTTTAGGGACATTTTCTGGTTAAACAATGGTCTTATTGGCGTCCGTTACTGAGAACGCTCACAAGTTTTTGATCACATTGATAATAAGAAATCAGACGTTCTAAACAATCAACAAAGTAATCTTCATTTTAAAAAAAAAGTATCATGACTTTAAATCAATATATTTTTAAAAGATGTCAGCGACTAGTAAGTTGTTTGAACAGGTCAAACTGATTCACCTTTGTTCTACTAAGAACTCTATTGTCAGTTTTAATAAATAGCATTACTCGATAGTTTTACTGGAGACGAAAATATAGACATACTGATCACACATGGAGCTATTTAATCCAACAATCAAAATTAATCGTTTAGCTCAGATCACATCTATCGTTACCGATTGTCGTTTGAATAACTTCTGGGCAGTTTAATTTGACAAATCATGTTTGTTTTTACGAATTATCTAACTAGATAGTAATCTTGTACTCACTCACTAATGATTCTAATCGATAGGAAATTTCACGAAATTCTAAAAGAAGGAATTATGAAGTCAATAAAGTTAGTTGATATACGAATGGAGGATTTAATGGTTATACTGAAGTTGAATATACGAACTGTCAGATTTTTACAATTCAGTACGTAACTCATACTTTGATTTTGTATAGAATTGTAGATGATAATCGACAAAAATTCTAATGGATATCCCAGAAAATTCAAAAGATGAAATTCGAACTCGAACTAAATCAATTGATATGTTGAATGAAAGTACTAATGACTTACTTTATCTTGAGGCATTGTTCGCATATCACCATCTTCTTTCCTATAAAACATAACAATAAATCTGATGTATAATTAACTGTTTCTCCCTTTTTTTAATTAATATTTGATAAACTATTAAAAATTGGAAAACAATTGCCAAAAAGAAACAAAAATAAAACAAAGTACTGATAATAATCGAAAGATGACAAGATAAGAACTGAGTACAATGATTGACCCAAGGTCTGAAGGTGAAGTCGTACTGCTGATTGTACAGAGGTATAACGGCAGTAAGGTGTTTCCCTCAAACAGCCAGCATAATAGCAAGGCTGTCTTCCCACAGAGAAGGACGGCGTTTGAAATGGTCGACTCCAAAAAGTGCACACCTCTCCTTATCCCACAGATTTCCGTCTCCAGTGGTAAGGTCCCAACAAGTACGGAGCTAACACGAAAATTACTCACAAAAAGGTTGTATGTGACCGGCCTTAAGCAGTTATCCCTTGGACACTGCAGTCACGCTGTCAGGTCACTAACACCAACTCTAACCAAATTTCTTTTTCAGGTACCACCAGAAGAACCCTTCTGCAGTGTGGGCAACCGGGAATTGGAAACTGCCTTCATACCTCTAACAGCACTTAAGACCACAATCATTGACCAGTTTAAGTGATACTAAATCATATCAAAATAAATAGAAGAGGGAATAATGTAAATAATAATTAAATCGTACAGAAAAAAATCAAAGGTAAAAACACTAAGAGATAATGAGTGGACTTATTGTGTTACTGTTGCGTTCTCTATTTGATTACGACCGGACATTAGCGTTAGTTATAACATCACTATAATTAAACCAATCTACAAGGAGGCAAGTTATGCTACCATACAATCGTAGAATGTCACGTTGATGTTCTAGAAAGCTCTATCAGGTTCCGATTGGATGAGAACTCTTAGACTCCTTTAGAACCTCCGGAGGATTTTTTCGTGCATCTCGAAAGCCCTCCCGACAGTTACTATGAGTGATAACAAATCATATCAGCCTCTATTAATCACAGTTATTGTGCATACTTTAGAGAGTTAACAGGTACTGTAAATATTGTAAGCTTTGAGTTTAAGAATTTATAGATCTATTGACACTTATTTTGTTAAGTTGACACTAGATGGTTACACATCTAGAAGACAAATATATTGGACGGATAGAAAGTTATAACAGCTAAATTGATAGAAATTTTTTAATGAGTGAATATGGGTAGAGGGAAGAGATAGCTAGGAAATGTTTTCAAAATATACTTTGAATAATTACACTTTAAATGTATGTTAAAGAGATGTTTATCGTAATTTTGTTACGTCGTTGATTAATCTATCCACTAATTTACGCAAAATAACTTGTCTCAATCCAGATTAAAGCCTTGATACGATAGGCCAACTTGTTTAGCCTTGACGCTAGAAACGTATGAGTTCCAAGTGACACTAACTACCTTAGTTAGAGAGATGAAAACTATCCTATCACCGATTGCTTGATAAATGATAAAGATAGAGAGAAGATGAGTCAACTAAAACACCACTCGGTTCATTCCTGATTCCGATTTCCAAGTTACAACTCACAACTCCAATTCAGATTAGCGCAGAATGACACACGAGCAAATAGATGACTAAAATACAATGATATTTATATGTCTATACGAAGTTATTAAACCAATCAAGGCAGTTTATGAGTCAATGATAACAATAGAATAGATTATATAAATAAGTATAATAAGTAAGTAAGTACAAATTGGTAGTGTGATGACAAGTGTACTAGTTGTGATAAGAATAATAAAGGCTTAAGTCAATGTTAGTTGAAGCTAGACCACTATGGGAAACCTGGAAGCACTGGACGGCCGTTTCGTCCTGGTACGGGACTCCTCAGCAGTGCGCACCCACGATCCCGCCCTCCTCGATATTCGAACCCAGGACCTATCAGTCTCGCGCCAGGCGCTTAACCAACTACACCATTGAGCTGGCATCCAACTCACTGAAGACACTAGTGTACGGTGGCGCAACTTCGCGGATTGGTTGAAGTTAGACATTAACACTATTGGATGCTGGCTCAGTGGTCTAGTTGGTTAAGGGCCTGGCGCGAGACTGATAGATCCGGAGTTCTAATCTTGCTGAGGGCGGGATCGTGGATGCGCACTGCTGAGGAGTCCCATACTAGGACGAAACGGCCGCTCAGTGCTTCCAGGTTTCCCATGGTGGCTTAGCTTCAATTGACTCATGATTTCAACCAGTGAAATTCCTAAAATCTCCACAAAACCCCTTCTGATATTAAATCAGTGTTACATAATCGGAAATAAGTCGATGATTAGAAAAATATAGACACTGAAATAACATTCATAAACATTATAAGATTACGTAATAAGATGTGTTCAGATAATTAGACAATGAAACGTATATTTGGAAAAGTGTGCAAGAGGGTGAAGAAAAACAAACGAATGAGTACGGAAAATAATAATGAATAAAATCATTTACTAAGGCCAAGGGAGAGATAAAGGTGTTGCAAATACATTATGAACAAAAAGACTTGGATTTTTAGCTCGAATTATTATAGCTTCTGCTATGTGTAAGAGATGAGATCGAACACCAGAAGGAAAACTAGTAGGAATATGACAAATCACTTTAAATGATCTATTTCTGTCCACTACATAACCGATATCCATCAAGTGTGATAGGACAGAGCTACTTATTGTTTTGACAGTACCTTTTCCTAACCACGAAGGAGGTGTTCACTAACTCGTTGGCTCAGTTGTCTGGTAGTGCGCCCAATATAGCTTTCTCCACAGGATCATCTGGATTCGCAGATACAAACTGAACTTATCCTTAAGTTGAGGAATCACCATGGATCAAGTGGAGTACAATAGACAGAGGTTGGCTGCATTAAACGTTCTCTTCACTGCTCTAGTCAGTCTATTACGTAGCACATCAGCTACATCTTCATTGAATTGCAGCTTCAGGAATAGTTTTCTTATTAGCCGTTGGTATCGCTACTTTCATGTTTGTTACATGCAACTGCTTCTTCAGGAAACCTTGTGGGTAACCCATTTCAATCAACATATTATGAATAAGCTCTAGTTCCTTGTTTATAGTATCGACTGAGCATATCTTTGTAGCTCTATTTGACATGCATCTGATTAGGTTTCTCTTATAATGAATGGCTACAAAGCCCAAGAAATGTGTGTATTGGTTTGCTGAAGAACTTTTCCTATATACACTTCTATTGATAGAACCATTTTCTTTTCTCTTTAACAAAACGTCAAGGAAATATAGTTGATTACCAAGTCCCTCTTCACAGGTAAATTCGATTGCTGAGTGTTCATTGTTAAATAGCTCTAGGTGTTCTTCTTTTCCAGTGTTCTGATCGACGATAATGAAAGTATCATTAATGTAACGACAATAAAAGTCAACAACTACCTGAAAAACAGATCGATATTAGAATCCCTGAGAGTAGTCTCAAAGAATTGCTTCTAAAGTGTACAGTAAACGTCTATTTTGTCCTCAATAATACATATTATAGACAAAGTGATGGAATAGCGATGGGTTTACCTCTAGATCCTATTCTTGCTGAATTTTTATTGCGAAACGAGAAAACGAACCCCTCAAATAGGTTATCGATAAGCTTGACATTGTTCACGCATGGAGAAAATATTACAAGAAATGGGCATACTACTGTGAATAATAACAGTAGTAATAACGACTACTATCAAAATGTACGAGAATTCATGCCGTTGTACTTCAAAATACGTTTTTATTAGAGTTGGATTAAAGTAGACACTGCAATCAGATGGGCAGCAGCGAAAAATATGGTACAATAACTTACCCGCGTTTTAAACGACAGAAGTCGAAGGCTACTTCACGATAGGAAGCTGCTTTTTCATCCAGATATTTTGCATATGGTCGTAGAAACAAGGAAATTCCATGGGCTGAATGTGATAGTATTGGGAGAAAAAAAGAAATTATGGAGGGATATATATATATATATATATATATATATATATATATATATCATCGAGATCAAAAATAAATCATTAAGGCCTCTAGGAATGGGTGTAGCCTAAAAGCGTATAAAAACGTCACAATCTACAAGATAAATTGTAGCAACTGTGATCAACATTTCATGAGACAAAGTGATTACTTTCTTCATCTGTGTCTACACGAACGCTATTCAGCTTTTAAAGGTAATGACATAGCTCCGTTTATGTTAATGCACGTGGAAAACTGTGGACATGCGTTTGATTATGGGAGCGTTAAAATATTGGACAAAGGAATTCCGACATAATGGACCTTTGAAGTAGGTAGATAAGTCCATGTATCAGGTTAATTGTGTGTGTTGGTAGTAGTGACAAAAAGTCAACCTTAATATAGTGAAGGGAAAAGCAGCATACGTCAGTCTGAACAGTTTTCGTCTGTGAAAGGTTAGGTGTACAACAATTTATTGCTAACAATCCTGCATTTTATTTGCGATACATAATCTCTCCAGCATCACTGTCCAACGATTATCTATTGAATTATTGACCTCTTATGTGTTTGAACAGAATTAAAACCGGTTTCCAAAACAGGTATTTAAGGCTTGGAAACGTGCAATATTTCCAAGATTATTAGGTCATTCAGCGACTTCTGTGTATCATTATTGCTGTAGAACAATGGAAAGGCCCCCAGTTTACCATGTGATACAGTATTGTTAGCTCAGTGCGCCCCCTGGATTGTCATAGAGATCATCAAATTAAGCAGTACAAAACACTATTATATATGGTCATGAATCAACCCAATGGAGAATGTTGTAGTTTTGATTTTATTTTATAATTACAGTCAACCATACGCAACGTAGAACATGAAATAAATCTGTACATAGATCCAAGTTGCCATCGCCCCATTAACACAGCGAGATGAAATTATCAGCGCAAATCACAGAGTAGTAGATACAGTGACAGTATTAGTGGTAATAGAAAAGATTAGGTATCGAACATACAACTCGAGAAGATATGCATTAGTGAACTAAAAACAAATTTATGAGGTGATTCGGAAACTTGGAATTCCAGGGAAGAAGAGTGAATGGATTGTGAACGATTTTGGAGCATATCACCCAAAGTCCCTAACTATTAATTACGACAATCAAGAGCAACCCAACCACGTAGCAAACATCTACCTACGAGGCTCAGTCCAATAGTCAGTGTCGTCACGGAGTGATGCCGTTTTTGTCTGCTTGTCCTTAACTTTCTTGCAATCTACTCCTACACCAGCCATCACTGTGGGTTGAGGTAGTCAGTTGACAGACATACATAAAACATGTCCTAAAAATCTCAGCCGATAACGACTCGCCACCTCCTCAATCGATTCGCCATACTTAAATAGCTGTCTGCATGCAACCTCAGAACTGTTAACTTGATGGTCCCAAAATTTACGAGAAGTCGTTCGAAGACACCTATCATGGGATATTAGTAACATACAAATATCCAATATTTTTAAAGACCATGTTTCACACCTATAAAGTAGAACCGGACAAATTTCTCAGAAGTATACTAGTCCCCCAGTTGGCAGACGGATGATTCGCTTATGATACAAGTAATACAGGTTGACAAAAGTTGATCGAACTATCTGATTCTGTGCCGTAATTTCGTCAGAAACCAATCCATCGGGGGTGATGAGACTTCTAAGACAAGTGAAGTGATCAGTACACTCAACTACTTCACTATTCATCGTTAGTTCAGGTGTTGATGCAGACCAGTTGTGAAGCAACATTATGCATTTAGAGAAGGATATGCGTTTAACGTCATCAGGACACTCTGTACTTTTCAGCGTCTCCGCCAAACATAACCGTATCATCTGCGTTAAGAGATCAACTCCAGAGAAGTTGGACGATTATAATGATCTCTAAAGGAATGTCTATGACGAAGTTAAATAAAAATATAGAAAGCAAACAAGCCTGACAAACATCACTTGAAGTTCTCGATTACAATGTCATCTCCTCATAAGCTGTGATTTAGCCACTAGTGTTTGAATCATTAATTATTACTTCAAAGTGTTATTCTCTCAACTGCATTTTGTTACTTTTACTGTTTCGATGTTTATTCAATGGTAAATTTGTCTTGTACTATGATTACTTTTAAAGAGCTTATCTTACTTTCCTTTATTTACTAGAATGGAGGATTGGGTGAAAAGTCTGTTTTTTGTTGTTTACGGTTTAGAGTGTAAAAGAGTAGGTTATAAACAATATAGTGATCGGTTTATTTTGTTAATCTTATGAACTAATATACCTATATGTATATATATATATATATGTAGTAGGTGAACAAAAACTGAATTCATTAAGGATTATTGAATGTGTTAAGTTATAGATTGGTAGATTAACGAAGTAAAAAAAAAAAAGAAATAAAATCAGCTAATGAATTCATAATAAATGAATACAAGACAAAAAGAAGAACCGATCAACATGCATATACACACAAAATACATCGACATTATTACTATGATTAGTAAAGGTTTACAGTATAAATTAAAACAGTTGAACGTGATCAGTGCACAAAGAAGAAATTAGGTTATTTAACAATACTGAGAAGAAGAAAAAAAATATGCAGTACGATGTAGATAATCTAACATAAGTATTAGGTTATTTATTCCAAATCAAAGAATCATTTAGATAATGTAATGAAAAGACAAAGTTTATCAGAACTATATATGATACGTATATTAAGATAATGTATTTATGAATGAAATATAAACGTCAACTAGATAGATAACAAAGTGAATCACATCATTATGGATAATAACTCAATATTACTACGGTAATATACCTAATGAAAGTAGAAGATATAACGTAGGAAGCAAGTTCTCAATCATAGGTATCTCTCTACAAGGTATTGGTTGTATGTAATAAAACTATTGAGTGAATGATCCTAAGGTTAGGGGAAAGGTATTAGGTTAAAAAAAGAGCAAGTTGACAGATGAAGCTATAAACCCTCGTCGATTGAGTTCGTCAAGATTTGTGTTACGTATGCATAAATACCCCATACTTGAAGTGGGACATTAGATGTTATTAAGACAAGTTAAAAAAAGGATTTGATATTAATAGATTGAACTTCTAACTGTTGATCTGAGCCATGTTGATAGATGCGGACATCTTGGTTGGGGCACATGCAATAATCGTACTGGTTGGTTCGAGACTCTGAGTGGCGTGACGTTAAACCATTTACAGTGGTGCAGTTGTATCCATGTTCTATTTTCTTGATTTTTAATCACATAAAGATTCTAAACGGTTACTTGTCGAAGATTATAAATTAGTGTAAAAGTCAGTTAATGCCTAAATCTCCTCTTAGTTTTACTGCGAATAAAAGGGTTTATATCTGTTTACCATCTAGAAAAGCACCGAACAGCATAGTTTTAAGAAAGAGACTGGAAGGAGCTGTTGAGAAAACGTACTATGCCGGTAAGTAGATAGTTATTAAAAAACTAAGCTTATGATTCCACACATGCCTAGAAATTGCCAAAACGATTACATCATTGGATCTGTTAATTTACATGTTTGTAATTGAGGGTTATAGAACATGTATCAAGATGGCCTTAAAATCAGTGACAAGCGCTAAAATATACGAAGGAAGTAGAAAACCATGTTCACCGACAGTAAGGCATATAACTGAAACGGGCTATAGAATTGACACGAACACAGCTTGTGAAATGTTGTAAGGGGATTCCCAAGAACGAGTCCTTAGGTTATAGAAGCGCTAGCTATTCGCGAACTTAAACCCCTTCTTTATGTGTACAGAAATCATTTGTTGCAACCTTGAATCTAACCTGGTAATCTTTTAGCCATTTAACGACTTAGAATAATGTGACAATTTACTTTTCTTTCCATATTACATGGACTTTTTATCGCTCATATTTACCATTGAACCTCTATTTAACTGAATTCTATTAATTTCCACGGAAAATGCCATGACAATTATGAGAGTAATCAGATAGTTTGAAGTGTATAGTGTAAATAAATCACATCTTTTAAATCAACTCCCTCTTCTAATTTCCCCATCAAAATTTATGAAAGCGATTAACTGCTTTTGATTGTGTACATCTGAAGTTTTCTGTTTATTTATTTAAACACATAAACATTGGTACAAAGAGGTACCATATAGATATGCGCCACATAAATCATTCGATTTATGTGAGAGCTGGGATACTGCCCGGGTGCCCAAACCGAGGCAGGTGGTTTTCTTAAGGAGGTACACCTGGAGCCTTCGACCTAAAGGTCCGATCCACAAGGCAGTGGAACAACGTCAGAAGATGTAGTTCCTTGCTATCTGGTGACCAACAATAGGTTCATACTCTATTTGTTCCTTCAGGATCCTGAAGCCCATGTGTACCATTGGTTTGGAATCAGGGTTTTCCAACTGTCCTAAGTGGACTTTCCGTGTCCACCAACCCGGTTAAAGTGCCGGACATACTCTTTTCGTTCCTTCAATTTCGTAAGCAACACCCAGTCGTAGCGAGAAGGCATTGAGTAGGACTTCCCTGGTCAGTCAGTCAGTCAGTAACAACGTAGTGGCCGTATACGCGTAGCCATGTGAGCATTTCGAGAGGGGAAGCGGACTCTCCCCACCCTCGACCGTACTAGAGTATTTTGAGGCTGTGGTGTGTGAGAGATTAGAAGAGAATATTGTCTTGCTAGTATGTTTTTATATACATACATAAAGAAAACATTTGAAGCAGCAAACACATAAACAAACACAATTTTTTAATTCATATAAATCGAAAAATGACTGTTCACTATGCAATATAAATTTAACCATTAGATCAAGAAGAACATACCCTGAACACTGTTGCGATCATGTAAACTTGGTACATAAAAATGGCAGTTATTTGAAGCGATGTATTGTGAAAATCTCTGAAATAATGATCAAGGAAATTATTATTGTAATTTACAAAATAGTTTTCAAATAGAAAATTAATAGATAACTAGGACTCAATAGTTTATATTGCATAAACTAAGTAAATTAACCTACTACATGTTTGTGTTCTACCCTTTGAATACCATTTACTACGAGAGAGTTGCTGATGCTACTCGCCTGTTGTCCCCGGTGAAACTGAGTTTGAATCTGTGACTTAATGGTTGGAAGTCGAATGACTGCGAACCACGGTTGAATTATATTAGGATATAGTAAACATTTAAGTGTGTTGTGACTGGTGCATGAATTCGCATATGATTTTATTCTGAGTACGGTTGTCGCTAACGTCTAAACACCTGTCGTTAAGAATTTCTGACAATGTCACACACGATTAGACTTCCTACAACGCTGTTTTTCTTTAGTGTGGGATATATTATGGAGATCTCTCTTCGACACTAAGGAGTACCTGAGAAGACTGTCATTATCATGCGGAATTCATGAGAGGAACTGCACTACAAGATTATGTATGAAGGGGACCTAACAGATGTATTTTAAGTGTGGACTAGTGTCAGAGAGAGCTGTCTGTTATCACATTTTCTCTTTTTTTCGGTCGTTGACAGAGTTATAGAGAACTTAATATTTCAGGAAAGATGCGGAATAGTGGGAACTTTAGGCATAGATAAGTGATTTTAACTTTGCAGATTACTTAAACCTGCTATCGCATACACAGCAACAAATGCAGACGAAGAAAGGCAGTAAGTATAGCAGAGGCTTCAGTAGAAATATGCCCCTAAATACTTTGGGGAGAGTCCGCTTCCCCTCTCGAAATGCTCACATGGCTACGCGTATACGGCCACTACGTTGTTACTGACTGACTGACTGACCAGGGAAGTCCTACTTAATGCCTTCTCGCTACGACTGGGTGTTGCTTACGAAATTGAAGGAACGAAAAGAGTATGTCCGGCACTTTAACCGGGTTGGTGGACACGGAAAGTCCACTTAGGACAGTTGGAAAACCCTGATTCCAAACCAATGGTACACATGGGCTTCAGGATCCTGAAGGAACAAATAGAGTATGAACCTATTGTTGGTCACCAGATAGCAAGGAACTACATCTTCTGACGTTGTTCCACTGCCTTGTGGATCGGACCTTTAGGTCGAAGGCTCCAGGTGTACCTCCTTAAGAAAACCACCTGCCTCGGTTTGGGCACCCGGGCAGTATCCCAGCTCTCACATAAATCGAATGATTTATGTGGCGCATATCTATATGGTACCTCTTTGTACCAATGTTTGCGTTTAAATAAATAAATAAAGGAAAAATTAAGATCCTAAAGTATAAGTAAGTACCAACTATATTACACTCAATAGTGAAGCTCTGGAAGAGGTGGAAGCCCTTATGTACCAGGGAGGATCCGGTACAGATATGAAGACACGAATTGGTAAAACAACGGAAGGATCTCTACAACTGAAGATCTGAGACTCAAAAGAAATATCACCGAACACTAAAGTCGAAAATTTCAAACCTAACGCCAAAACAATTCTGTTATACGGATCTCAAACTCGGACAAGCACCACAACCATCTCTGAGAAGTCACAGGTATTTATTAAGAACTGCCTATAGAAGGTACTCGATTCACTGGCCAGAGACCAACAAACCAGCTGCCAGTTGAAAAGGAAGTTAGGTAAAGACTCTGGATGTGGATAGCATACACTATGCGTAAACCATTGAACTGCAACACAAGGAAAGCTCTGACTTGGAATCTCCAAGCCAAAAGGAAAGGGGGAAAACTAACGTACACAGCACTGGGGATCGGAGACAGGGATCAACACCATGAAGAGCACTTGACGACAACTGGAAAGAAGGAATGTCTAGGACAAAGTTAAATAAAAACAAAGAAAGCAAACAAGCCTGACAAACATCACTTGAAGTTCTCGATTACAATGTCATCTCCTCATAAGCTCCTATTTAACCAGTAGGGTTTGAATAATTAATTATTACTTCAAGGTGTTATTCTCTTTACTGCATTTTATTACTTTCACTGTTTCGATGTTTGTTCAATACTAAATTTGTCTAGTGCTATGATTACTTTGAAGTAAATTATAATCAGTGAAAAGGAGATTTGTAATGTAAAAAATGAGATTACGTCCAGTTATCAGACCAACTAAGATTACAGTCAACCTGAAAACTAGAACTGTACTATGATCCTTCGAGTTCAGGGGGTTTAATTCATTATGGTTTACTGTTCTCCCTTGCCTTCTATTGGCTATAGCTTTTTCTGCTCAAAGAGTAGAGGGGTTTATGTTGATGCCCTACTTTGTTTTGTAAAAATAGGCAAGTGAAGGGCAACTAGATAGCAGCCAAATTATTTTTTCAAAGTCTCGCCCCACCATTCCAGTCTTTTGGGCTGAGAGTGAATTACTGTCCTATATCGTTCAATAATAGTCACCCTAAATCCCTCATTTTTAACACCACTTTGAGAAGACTGAAAAACTGTATACCGTTGCCTATTTCCATCATTTTCGCTTTAACTAGCTATATATTTGGTCCAATTGACCAATTATAGATTCCTATACTTTACTTCGGTTAACACTATACGAAAACTAGTCACGCTACCCTACAATGAAGATCAAATTGACTAGAGTTTAACTTGACAGTTTTGAAAGCAAAGTAACTTGGTGTTTGAAACGATAAGGAAGATCTAAAGTACGGGTGGATACTTTCATGGAAGCTCACGGAATATGGCACTATTACACTCCGAGAACGCCTATTGTCTGAAACGGCACCATCTACGACCATCTATTCGGTAGACAGTACTTAACTGACGGAATTACATTTTTCTGTGGAAATACATATGCAGGAGCCAAATCTCCCTACTTAAAGCGTAAATTTTGGGGAAGCCGCAGTAGAAAACTTTGGGGAGACGGTACAAAAACACCAGAATTTCCCCAGGTCTGGGGAAAATCCCCAAAATGCTTGCGGAAACTAAGGGTTTCCCTTCAGAATTTCCCGAAACTTTAAGGAAAACCAAAAAACGTTCACGACTTTGGGGAAAACTGCAAAATTCCCTCAAAATAAAAGAACTTGGGTTCTATAACGTGAAACACTGTGTTCATTTGAGTTTTCCCAATATATGCCCTAAAAGAAACAGCAATTCACGGTATACACAAGCTTTACGGCTTCAGCTAATAAATTTTACCAAAATAATGTTCTAACCTCGTTCCCAAACTGCATTAAGTGGTGTATCGTCAGCAATGCTTTGAATACAACAACCAAGTTGCTATGTTGTGTGCGGATGACGAGTTGGTTGGCGAAATCCGGGACTGAAAGGCGGGGTTCAAACGTACATTGTACAAGATCTTTATAATTCATAAACGGTTATCCTGACACTTACAGGACAAATGTTTTCTTTTAGGAGCACACATTTCTTCTGTTGTAGCTTTGCAAATGATTTTAACAACTACAGAGCCCGATAAAGTATACTTCATTGCTGTCATCAAGTCCGAAAGGCTCTGACCAGTTCCACTACCAGCCAACTGTTTAACGACCTTCCCAGCCATCACTTCGAAAAAGCAACGCAACTATTCGTGAATGGCGCGAAAAAAAATATATATCCAATATCTTTGTCACTAGGTTGTATAAACTGATTGATTTATTTGCGCTCTCTTCTTGCTGTTTTGGCACTGTTCCAGGTATCTGGTTATGTCCAATGGGCGGTTGCCAAGCCACTCGACTACACTAATTATAGCTAATGTGGTAGTTATTTGTGGATTTGTATACCTTGCAGTTTGAGTGAGTGCATTTGTCTCAAGGTAGTAGGATTTCTGGATACCAGCAGCTACCAAACTACCACGCAGGGTGTTGGTTATCTCAGTGTGGAAATAAAGTGATAATTCGAGTGCTGAGAGAAGACGATTGTTTCAAGAATAAATAAATGAGTTAATTGGTAACGTGTAAGAAGACCGAACTGTAATGATAAGAAGGAAAAGAGAGACTATAATAAGGGTTAGTTAATGGATATGGGTTAATGGTGACAGTGGTCATCTACCAGACATACACCAAACGCAGCTGGTCTTAGAGTGCGGTATTAATTCACGAGTGAGTACGTGTTTTAGAGCTATTTACTGAGGGGGCTATGGAAACTTCGTCTGGAAGGGAATATCAAATGAGGTCAGCGTTAAATGAGAAAGATGGGTATACTTGGGCGCTAGCTCTTTGATGTGCAGTCTCTCGGAGGTTGCCTCGAGGAGCATGGTGATGATGTTCTGGCAATATACACGTATTCTAGTGGCTTAGTGTTCCTGATATGTTATACGTCACTATCAGATCACCCTCTTATTCTCCTGAAGATGCCACAGGTATTCAGTGTTTGACGACGCCTTAACCTTCTAATATAACTCGTACCCACCAAGGGAAATCAAAAGACAGAATCGAGGAGATCGGAAGATATATTTGCTATGATATCAATATATCGAGAATCGTCTGATCTAATCTGGATAGCGATTGCAGTAGGTGTTGAGCACGGCGTTCCCACACGTGGTCTGGTGCGGATGCATGACCGGGCGCCTTCAGCTACGTGAGTCCATTAAAACATGTGTTCAGCATCCAATGTCGAAAACTTACAGAACTATTTATTTTGGGGATTTATTTACCGCTACACTCCTGTGGCCAAACGAGAATAATTTCAGGATTGTGAGTCTGTTCTCGTAGGATTTATGCTTTGGCTCTATTACCCACGTGGTTGCTAGTCTATCTACTTGGTCTTAAAGAATTATATTTCTTTTGAAGGAAGGGGACGCAACGACATTGTGGACTTAAAGGTGAGGCCGTGTGTACATTTTAAACAGTGTTTGAAACAACTCGATTGTGATTGACTCAATTTATCTACGCATGAAGAAGAGAGTTGCGTATATCTTGGTTGCATCTTTCATGTATTTTGAACTGGTGTCTAGGCTCTCAGAGGTTACAAGCCTGAGATCACACTCCGACGAAACATTGGAAAGCAGGCTTCCATGGAGAGTGTAGGCGTTGTGCGCAAAATGTTCACGACATGACATTTCGGTAGATTAAGTATCAACCAGTTATCCAGTGCACGATTCTCTATTGTTGTAATGTTGATTAGAATCCCAAATGAACCCTCTTCACTTTTATGGACCTTCACGTTTTGGCGCCGTCCGAATTAATCAGTCCCACTGAGCTAATTTTTCTAACAGGTTGTTAAAAGACCAAGGATGGAAGTTAACATAAACGAATTTAATTTCTTGGACCAACAAACACTGCCTTTACTGTTCCGTATTCACGAATATAATGTATTGGACAGTTATTGCACGTGCCAACGTTTATATCGCGTGTGCTCTTTTCTTGTTCTCTGACTAATCATAGAAAATTTGTAAAGACACACTTGTGTAATTGCTCAACATGCACAGGCTACATGAGGGCTACGATCAAATCTTTAAGGGAGACCTTCTACTTGTGTCATGCTCTCCATTTGGCCTGTACCAAGAGATCCGTGCCTTCTTTAGCCCTGGATCCTCACCTTGTGGGTCTGAGCTTACCCTGAGGTACATTGTACTGGATGGCATACTTAATGGTGTACCTCACTATATCCCAGTGATCGGACTATGTTAGCCTGAGCCACTCTGATGGCCATTAAGAGTGCTGAAGATGCTTTCTCATCACCATGTAGTCTGCTCTAGTCCCCTTGTTGCATCGAAAAAGTATTATGCCTGACAAGCTCGATTTCCCATCTGTGATTTCACACGACAGCCATATTTCAGACAAGACTATGAACTAAATGCCAAACTAAGAGAAAATGTTCCCGATTTCTTCCAGATCAACCATTAGACCTCCTACATTGCTGTAGTGGCACTTGATGGTTTCTGTCATTATCTGGTGCTCCGCTTCAGCGATATCGGTCTACTGATCTTTAAGCAGATCCTTGTTCCAACTGTGTTGGCCAGTCCTATTCTAGCTGGTCGCATGAGGGTACATTTGTAAGAGTCATTAATAGTTGGTTGGTTCTTAATTCGGATTTTTTTACTGGTGTAAATGTAAACAACTTTTTTGTTAGTATAAATTTATTAGTTGACTGCTAATTGTTCGTTCTCGTAATCTGATCAGTTGAAATCCATCTAACTCAAACTAAATGAATTCAATGTCAGAATTTGCAATTTTATATTTAGATTTTATTTCACTGAAACATTCACTCAGACAATTTCATCATCCAGTGATATAATATTGCAACTTCACGAGAAATGTTACGCAAACTCTATCCAAACTCCATATTTTATACTACCGGTTTATAAGACATTTGTATTCAGCATGACGTTGTGGACATGTTTCAGTTTCATTGGAATCAGGAGCCGACCTAAATTAGACTGTAGCGTGGGGTCGAGTCGTAGTTGACTGTGAACACCGCTATCAAGGAACGCATGCCAGGATATCCATAAAATCCCCCGGAAGCCAGACATCAGAAGGCAGTTAATGGACCAAGTCGAGATATATTTGCTGGCGATCTCGTGGTATCGAAAGGATACCGAGATCGTGCTAGGATACAAGCTTGGTTACAGAGCGTAACCAAATTCGCGCGAGTTCACAAAGTATAAGAATAGTGGATGCTTTTAGCACAGTTAAACAAAAACACATTAAAACAGTCACTGATACAATTGGTTATAACAATAATTTTTTTCAATAAACCAATCGTGTTCTCGTGATAAAAGTGAGCCACTACAAGCCTACCACTGAAAATGGCCGTTCAGCACTTCCAGGTACACATTGATGGTCTTACTTGGATTGACTCGTAATTTCAACTACCATCAATAAGTCGTTTCAACATAACGTTAGAGTTGGTAACAATTGCAACATACATTCGAACAAATGGACGGATTTCTGTGGTGACATCATGCTAGCAATATACTTCATTAATACTAAATGTTTATTGAGTCTAACATCAGTGAATGATGAACAGTGTACATGTTCGTAAATGAATAATAATTCGGAAGAAATCCAGCAAGAACTTTCAGTTCTGATTTATTATTAGAAAATGAATGAAAATCTACGCATCAGTGTAATTGACAGTGTGATTAGTATCGATATCGATCTGGTCACCAATGTGAACACCATGTAGCACAGATAACATGTTGAGTAGATTTATTCGTTAATGATTGACTAGTTGATAAGCAGTTTGATGAAATAATCAAGTATTGAATGACACTACGAATTAAATGCATTGCAACATGTAATGAACGGAATTCGGGTGCAAGACTACAAACAATTATGATCGTTTTGTTATAACAGTTTGTTTAGTCTAAATTGGTTGATAAAGTGTATTGCATAGTGAAGGATATCGGATGGCCTCAACTACTATATAATCGGATTGATGTGTATGACCGAATTTGTCAGTTGTCACTTCAGAACATTCAAAAAGCTTTCACTTTATTTGATAGACAACATCAAAACACAAATTCTCTATCTCCTAACTTTTCAAGTTATCTATTCTTGTGCGCATGTGTATGTGCATGTTGAGCAATTACACAATAATGTGTCTTTCCTAATTTCCTATGAATAAACCGAGAACAGGAGAAGAGCACACGCAATATAAACGTTGGCACGTTAAATAACTGTCGAATACGTTATATTCGTGAATACGGAACAGAAATAGCAGTGTTCATTTGTCCAAAAAATTACATTCGTTTATATTAACCGGATTTTAGGAATGGTTGAAAGCGATCTCAGTCTCAAAATATGTTGAGGTGAACACGAACGGTCTGCAGTGATCTGTGCAACAGTTTCATCGAATTCGAAACTATTCACAACAAGTCACAACAATTTGTGTTCTGGATCCAGCCAAAACAAAAAGATTAATGTACGACAGTTGTGACACGTTCCATGCAAGGTTTCTGTATGAAACTGTAAAACATCAGCCGCACAAATATTTAACGGTTATAGACAGAAAACACTTACTGTACAACATTAAACAAAGGAAAACTGATATTCAAATTGACGAGAGAACTGAAGATATTCTCGATGGTGGAATCATGTTCAACTATCACCCAGTTAGGAATTGTTGTTAGGCGATCAGGTGGTGTGTGCTACTGATGCTAAGATATATATATATATATATATATATGAGTAGTATCACTAATCGAAAGTGAAATATTTGGCGGCAGTGGGTTAAGAAGATCGACGAAAATCGAACAAGAACAGACAATGATTGGTGTGGAAATGAAAGAATAATGAAGTGTGAGACGATTGATTGATATTTTACAAATGAAGTATTTACTGTATGGTTCTCAGACTTTACTAAGAAGTTCGGTAATTTCCAGTTCAAATACATTTGGCAGTACCCACCTGTATTCATCTTCACTACAGGGTTACAACAACATTCGACTAGGTGGGTAGAATTCGAGATTCTCAAGCAACGAACTACACAATCACACACACGCAGCTACTCTCACGAAAAATATTTCAGTCAAATTATATTAGGAATTTGCAAGAACCAAACCATCATGTCAAAACATATTGGCCGACATGTACACCAGACCATTAATCAACCGCTAGT